GATAAAATAAAATAATTTTTTCTGTTGTCTATTTTGCTTCCCCCCTTTTGTTTGTAAGTTTTACTTATCAAACATTTATTAAATGTTTACAAAGATATGTGATTACTCAAATAAGACAAACATCTTGTGTAGGTTTGAACAAATACACTGAAAGAGAACATTTTGAGCATGTGTCAGAATATTTTAGAAACTTATATACACTGCTCAAAAAAATAAAGGGAACACAAAAATTAGACATCCTAGATCTGAATGAATGAAATATTCTTATTAAATACTTTGTTCATTACATAGTTGAATGTGCTGACAACAAAATCACACAAAAATTATCAATGGAAATCAAATTTAGCTACCCATGGAGGTCTGGATTTGGAGTTATACTCAAAATTAAAGTGGAAAAAAACACTACAGGCTGATCCAACTTTGATGTAATGTCCTTAAAACAAGTCAAAATGAGGCTCAGTTGCGTGTGTGGCCTCCACGTGCCTGTATGACCTCCCTACAACGCCTGGGCATGCTCCTGATGAGGTGGCGGATGGTCTCCTGAGGGATCTCCTCCCACACCTGGACTAAGCATCCCCCAACTCCTGGACAGTCTGTGGTGCAACATGGCGTTGGTGGATGGAGCGAGACATGATGTCCCAGATGTGCTCAATTGGATTCAGGTCTGGGGAATGGGCGGGCCAGTCCATAGCATCAATGCCTTCATCTTGCAGGAACTGCTGACACACTCCAGCCACATGAGGTCTAACATTGTCGTGCATTAGGAGGAACCCAGGGCCAACCGCACCAGCATATGGTCTCACAAGGGGCTGAAGATCTCATCTCGGTACCTAATGGCAGTCAGGCTACCTCTGGCGAGCACATGGTGGTCTGTGCGGCCCCCTAAAGAAATGCCACCCCACACCATTACTGACCCACTGCCAAACTGGTCATGCTGGAGGATGTTGCAGGCAGCAGAACGTTCTCCATGGTGTCTCCAGACCCTGTCATGTCTGTCACATGTGCTCAGTGTGAACCTGCTTTCATCTGTGAAGAGCACAGGGCGCCAGTGGCGAATTTGCCAATCTTGGTATTCTCTGGCAAATGCCAAACGTCCTGCACGGTGTTGGGCACAACCCCCACTGTGGACGTCGGGCCCTCATACCACCCTCATGGAGTCTGTTTCTGACTGTTTGAGCAGCCACATGCACATTTGTGGCCCGCTGGAGGTCATTTTGCAGGGCTCTGGCAGTGCTCCTCCTGTTCCTCCTTGCACAAAGGCAGAGGTAGTGGTCCTGATGCTGGGTTGTTGCCCTCCTACGGCCTCCTCCATGTCTCCTGATGTACTGGCCTGTCTCCTGGTAGCACCTCCATGCTCTGGACACTATGCTGACAGACCCAGCAAACCTTCTTGCCACAGCTCGCATTGATATGCCATCCTGGATGAGCTGCACTACCTGAGCCACTTGTATGGGTTGTAGACTCCGTCTCATGCTACCACTAGGGTGAAAGCACCGCCAGCATTCAGAAGTGACCAAACCATCAGGCAGAAAGCATAGGAACTGAGAAGTGGTCTGTGGTCACCACCTGCAGAACCACTCGTTTATTGGGGATGTCTTGCTAACTGCCTATGCTTTCTACCTGTTGTCTATTCCATTTGCACAACAGCATGTGAAATTGTTGTCAATCAGTGTTGCTACCTAAATGGACAGTTTGATTTCACAGAAGTGTGATTGACTTGGAGTTACATTGTGTTGTTTAAGTGTTCCCTTTATTTTTTTGAGCAGTGTACATTTGTGATATCACTTGCAAGAATAGCCTTGTACATGAGGTCATTGCAGTATTATCATCTGTACTTTATTGACTTAAGATTTTAGGCTGAGAGATACTGAGGAAAATCTGACTACTGAGTTCGTGCAACTTGAAGACTTCATCTTTTACAAATGAGACAGATAGAGTTGATGTTGTAACAGTCTACTTTCCTTGCTCCTTTTTTAGACTTCCTACACTATTAATAAATCCTCTGTGATCTTGCTATGTCCCTGTAAATTTGCCATCATGAAACAATTTTTATTAAAAAAAACACAACATAGGACATGGATAGATAGCCAGTGTGTGTGTATAAAGAAAAAAAAGGTTTCTCCTCTACTGCTCCTGTTCACCAAAACTGGTGATCTCATATTTTATATGAGAGGAACATATTTAGGAACCTTAAATAGTCACCCATCTCACAGATGTGACTCTGTATAGAATAAAACCAATAATTAAAACAATGTTAAGTAATGACCATTAAAAAGAGCAGTAGCAATAGCACTTAGACTTATATACCACTTGACAGTGCTTTACAACCCTCTATAAGTGGTTTACAGAGTCAGCATATTACCCCCAACAATCTGGGTCCTCCTTTTACCAACCTTGGAAGGATGGCTGAGTCAACCTTGAGGCTGGTGAGATTTGAACTGCCAAATTGCAGTCAGCAGTCAGCAGAAGTAGCCTGCAGTACTGCACTCTAACCACTGTGCCACCATGGCTCTTAAAAATAAGATAAGCAAGATTGTGGGAGATTGCATCAGAATCTTACAATACAGCCAGCTCGTGCACTCTGTGTCACCAGACAGTTTAGCAAACCCCAGGCCTGCTGAAAAAAAACATGTTTTGAGAGATTTCTGGAAGGTCAATAGGATCAGGGCTAATCTCCCCAGGGCAAATGATGTTCCAAAGGAGGCATAGCAGAAAAGGCTCTTCTCCTAGGTCCTATCAGGTGGAATTCCTGAGCAGATGGGACCAGTAACATACTGCTTCTGCCAGATCGGATGGGATGGGTAGAAGTAAGTGGGAGAGAGGGGAAGTATCAGATAATATGGCCTTGTGCCATGAAGACCTTAAAAGGTCAAAAGCAGTATCTTAAATTGGACCCGGGAACAAACAGGCAATCCATATAGCTCATGGGACAGAGGTTTAAATTGTATCCTTCTGGGGGTACATATAACTGTCCTGCCACCATATTTTGCACCATTTGAAGCTATAGGTAGACCACAAATTTCTAGTGTCAGTATAATCACATTTTGGGCCAAGACTGAAAAAACTGCTCCATATGTTGAATGACTATTTGATCATCCTGCTGGGCCAAACAGGAAGAGCCATACTGCAGTTTTTTCCCCCTCCAAATAATAACCTGGGAATGGAGGGATTTGTCTTCCATTTACTGGGGAGAATGATACTTTTGAAAATAACAGATGGGAGGACCAATGTTGAAGGTTAGCTTGCACTTAAGTGGCAATGCTTATACATTTTAATGCTTTCTGTAAAGTTTAATAAGGACTGTTTCTCTTTTCATCCCATCCTGGTTTAGCTATCTTTATTTTGTTCATCTCCATCCAGTTAGCTCTCTCATTCAATTTCCTTTTTAATCCAGTATAGCAGCGTCCCCCAACCTTTTGGGCACAAGGGACCTGTTCTGTGAAGAGAGGTTTTCCTGTGGACCAGAGAGTGTGGTTTTGTCTGCATCTTGCGGATGGGGCTTTGCTTTGTGTGGCCTGGTTTCTGGCATGCCACGGCCCGGTGTCAGTCCATGAACCGGGGTTTGGAGATTCCTGCAATATAGCTACCCCTTCCCCATCCAATTCTTGTTTATCTTACTTAAGCAATGAGGATATGTGTGTGTGTATTTGTATATGTGTACTTGTGTATTTCTGTGGCGGGTAGGTTGTGTGTTTGAGAGAAATTAATTGAAACTTCACATTTGACTGTGGAAGGATAAAAATATAATACATGAATTCTTCCTCTGCATTTACAGCATTTATTTTATTAATGAGGTAATTTTATTTAGAGGCAATTAATTTTAATTAGTAATTGGTAATTTGGTTAGTATCAACTCATTTTTCCATTGTCAGCTCCCCACTTGTAATGACAACCCCCACCCCCATTTTGTTATTTGATAATAAAATACGGTAATCTGCTAATTATACAGCAGCATTTAGGATGTCTTTGGTCTTGATTCCTTCTCTACTAGAAATCTGCATAGTGAATTAACTATCTGCCTGTTGAATGATAATTCAGAGAGAAGTCATTTGTGTCAAATTAACAGCTGCTCTGACCATAAGTACTTTAATATTTGTTCACTAACATGAATGATTAGATCATTAGACCTACCAGACTGGGTGGCCAGGATTTTCTCTATCATTGCATAATAAAAAACTTTTTTACAATATGCTATTTCCTGCTTAATACTTTTTAAATCTAAGTAGCATTTGATTATTATTTTTTTTAAGCAATAATAATAAATGAATAAATGTGAGTATTGTTAGGGTTTTTTTTAATTAAAAGGAACTGGATGAATATCAGAGGGAGATATTTAAAACATTGGTGTCCATGGATGTCACCCTCCTTTCCACAGTGTCCACGGTGAGGTTGCAATGGTCACAAGTGTGAAAAACAGTCATAACTCATTTTTTCAGTGGCTTTGTAATTTTGAACAGTCACTAAGTGAACTGTTGTAAGTTGAGGATTACCTGTATAGGGCATATCTGTTATATTCCATTATATTAAGTCTGGCTCATTCTCAAATCAATTATTATAAGTGCCTGTGCATTTTGGACCACTTTAAGAGAATTATAGTAAATATGAAAGTAATTTTTTTTTTATTATTATCATCATCAAATGATCCAATATTAACTAAATTGCAAAATTAATTTTTATCAAATGTAACATTAAATGATGATAAATTGATTGTCAAATATTAACTACATAATTAAGTAATTCATTTTATTCATATTTATAAAAGTGATCCAAATTATTTATAAGTATTACAATTTCATTTTAACAATAATCAAAGTAATAGTACAACTTCATTTTAAGTGTGTTTGTGCCAGGTTCATTTAAAATCAATATTATATCTAAAAATATTTTAAGTAGAAATGGCATATGCGTTTTCTTTGTATCTTAGCTGATGGATGATATTTAAATGATACTTGAAATAATTTTTGTTGTCACTAAACCCATGTTTTCCATCCCTTTTGCAGGTTATAGAAACTTTATCCAAACTTTCTCGCACCCCTATTGCTTTAGGCACTGGAATAAGGTACAATATAGTTGGGATTTTTAAAAAAAGCAAACACTGATTTTTGTTTATAATACAAATATTTGCTTAGAAAATGAACTGCAAATTGTTTTTGTTTCAAAGTAATTCTACTTTTTTAAAGTTACATTTTAGAACTGAATGATCTGCTTGAAATTAGTTACATTAATATACAATATACAGGTAAAATGAAAAATGAAATACTTGCTCAGGCATGCCAATAAAGTCATTCATATGATCATTTATTTATTCATTCAAGTAAGGGAGTTATATGGTCCCCATCTTATCTATGATAATTCTGGCGGATTCACAAAAGCAGCAAAAGAAAAAGCACAAAAAAGAACAATAATATGATTAAATCAGATTGTTCATTATGATAATTTTTAACTTTTGTTTCTTTGTTGTTGTTTTTTGTCTCCATAGGCCCTTTCCTACCGAAGAGAGTGTTAATGATGTAGACATATACAAAGGCCTTCCAGATTTAATAGAGTAGGTCATATTGTGTATTAATTTTGCATTCTAATTTGTAGGGTGTTGACATGCTGATCCTATGGAGAAAATATTTCAATTAGCATTTTGCTGTTTACTTTAAATTCTTTTAAGCTATTAAGTTTGTAATTAATTTTTATTTTGTTTAGAGTTGACGATAAACTCACCCAATGAAGACTTTCCAAACTTGCCATTCCAGAGGTCTCAAATAGTCTTATAAGATAGTTAATAGGGATCATGGCATCCCTCCTCTGTTTAAAAATAGGACAAAAATAAATGTGTTAAACCTCTGTTAAGGTTAATCTTTCATCATACACTCAAAATCAAGGTATTCTATTTCCAAATTTGATCTTTATGTTCTCCTGAGAGCCGTTCGGATCATCCAGTGTGTGGGAGGTGCTCCAGTCTGCGTCGTTGTAGGCTGAGCTTAATTACTGAGGAACGCTCCGCCCTCCGTCACGTGGCTCCCTTGCGTTCCCCAGTTTGCGCTCAGCCTACGTGAGATTAGGCTGTGTAATTCTTTTCTCTCTCTGGCCGATTCAAGCTATTAACTTTCAGGTTTGATTTTTGATTTAAAAGGGACAATCCTTCCTTCCTTAGCCTGCTCGTATAGGGGATACAAGGGGAGCACGTTTTCTTCGCCCCCTGGGGGTTGTAGAACGGGTGGCTTTAGCGCTTCGGCGCCAATCCCCCCCCCCAATTCGGACGTTTCCCTGCCGTTCTTTTCACCGCGATCGCAGCGGCTTGTTTAAACGCGCCAGATAGCGCTGCTGGCATTCCCCCCCCCACCGCTAACGCCGCTTACAGCAAGTAGGGGAACAGCTTTAACTACCTTCTCTCGGCATTCCAGGTGCCAGAGAGGTCCCTACTCAGCCCTGAGCAGCCCGTAATTACAGGAGCGTGGGCGGTCGCCTTTTTGGGCACCGCCGCGCGTCGGGCGCCATTCTTGAGGCCTCGTTGTGCTGCGAAGTGACTGATTTTACATACAGGCCCTCAACCAGAGGACCGATTGATTAATCTGTGAATTTGGACAATATTGTTGGCCTTCCGCAGCTGGCTCAGGGCAGAATTTAGCAGCCTATCCCTCCCGGTTGTTGTCTGGGAGCTCCAGCTGCCAGAGGCCTCATTACAGCCTCAGGCGTTCTAATTCGAAACATTGGTGTCAGTTAGCAGAAGAATCATAGAATATTAATAATTATAATCTTATTTTAATAATACTAATAATATTAACAATAATAATAATAATAATAATATCAGTAATAATAGTAATAATAGTAATAATAGTAGTAACAGTAATAATATTACTATTGATCACAACTGTATAACTGCATCTTTGCAGGTCTAGATTCATATATATATGTGTATACATACACATATATAGACTTATTGTGAATTCCTACAGCACCCACTGGAGGCCAAGCCTTGGGGTGCACAGAACCTTAATAATTAGACCAACTGCTATATTATAGAATTTATACATCTAAATTCCAAAAGGGGTGTGTGGACCAGCTGAAAGGACACCCGGCCTTTGTTGTAGGTCGAACCCTTGGCGAGCCAACCGCCCTTAAAATTGTATTGTAGTCCTTTCTCTATAATGGCAGATGACAACTTCAACAAGCGCCCTTCTTTGAAGGCCAAATCTAAATCCTATCACCTGCGCAAACAGGCTAAGGAAGCCCCTAAGGAAGCCCCTAAGGAGACCTCCAAGGCTTCTCAGAGAGACGCCCTACGACATCATAGGGCTCTAGAGAAGGAATTTGACAGGCGATCTAGAGAGGCACAACCGGTTCTTCCAACCCTCCTGCCCTCAGCTCCTTCTACCTCCCCCCCCCTCCTCCAGTTTGTTCTCCCTCTCCAGGCACAGCCCATCCCAGGGACAACAGGTTCCCGGTCCATCGACCAGACGGACTCCTGAAGCTACATTCACGCCCACGGCCGCTGGCCTGTGCCCAGAGGAGGCTGTCACACCAGAGATTCCTGCACACGTGCAGGCTTGGATGGAACGGGCCATTCGCCAGGGGATAGCAGAGGGCCTTCAGCAGAGGGTCAGGTCCGGTCCCCCCTCATTGGCGTCCGAACTCGATCCGCCATCTGTCAGGTCCTCGCCCAGATCGGATCCCTTTCATGGTCAGGTACCTTTACAAGGGGGCAGCCCTCTTCCAGAAAGAGATCTGGAGGAGGCCATGGAAGATCAGTTTGGGGTGGAGGAGGAACTGGAATGGGGGTCTATGCACCAAGAGGAGCTCCTATCGGAGGTAGACCTCTTGGAGGGGGACATGTCCGAGGACGAGGGCCTTACCCCGGACCAACCCACTGTTACGGGACTGTTCAAACCACACATGTTCAAGTCGCTGTTATTCAAAGCCAGGATTATTTCTGGCCTGTCCGTGCAGCCCTCCTTGACTCTCTCCTCCCCGGCAGAAGGCCAGGAGGATGTCATTTTAGACAGCCCGTGGTGGAGGCGGTGGTAATCCCGGCCCCACCCTTATTTCACGACCTGGTCTCTAACCAGCTGAATTCCACTAGGGCCCCCCCGCCCCATCCAGCCTGGACAAGAGGTTCTTCAACCTCGAGTCAAGCTTCTGCGACTTACTTAATTCTCCCGGGGTAAATGACCCCATCGTTGGCCTGGCCTCTTCGTCGTCCCCCAGTGATCCTCTAGAGGCCCTAAAGCCCGAGGACTAGAGGTCTGAGCTCGCCCTCCGTAGGGCTCATCAAGCAGACACTTGGGCCATTAGATCAGCCACTGCCGCCTCCTTCTTCACCAGATTTCTATCCGGTGACTTCGTCAACTGAAGCAGCACGTCTCCCCCTCCAACCCTAGGGCTCAACAGGACGTAGCAAAATTGTTGGCCGCGGCAGAGTTCTCCGCCGATGCCACCTACCATGCGGTTAAGTTTTCCGCACGAGCAATAACATCCCACGTCATAGCTCGCCGCCTGCTCTGGCTCAAGCACTGGCAGGCGGGCATAAAAAACAAGGTTAAGCTGGCCACGCCCCCCATAAAGGGGGGACAAAATATTGGGTTCTGCTTTGGACCCCTTGCTTTCTGAAACCCGAAACAAGAAAAAATTTCTCCCTCCTCTTTTTCGGAGGTCAGAATCTAGAGCCCCTCAGCCAT